ATTAATGTTCCGACATCCTTTAAGTCCTCTAATGTAAGGGTCCCTTGTTGTGCTAATGCAACCACCTAGCGTTCAATGCTTAGACCCTGGTGGATGGTACCACATCTGGCATGCTAATTCTCTGCCCAAAAGATATTTATTTGGGGATTAAGATTTTCCCTCATCCCCCGGTCTTAAGTTTTCTTTTTTATGTTGCATGTCAACGCTGATTATTGCCTTTCTTCTTTATGGAAAATAAAAATTCTAGTGGGCTGTTTTCTCTAAATGTTATAAAGTAAATATTGTAGATATTTGTGTGAAGTTCCTGACTTAACAATATTTATGAATGCAGTATTTCTCATGTTCAAGCTCTGGGGATTCAGTTGTCACCAGCATTTTCTGTTGATATTCTCGGGCCCTCTGGAATGTTTGTGTTGAAGAGAGACCGCATGGCTAACTGTCAACCTCCAGAGCCTTCTGAAAATGAGTCTGGAGCAGCATTAACTTTAGCTGATAGACATTTCCAACAGATTGTGACTATATTGCGGGGACATGTAATGGGAGTAGGAGCTATGGATGGTTGGGAAGAGGAAGAGTATGAAGTTGATGAGGATAATGCCTTCTGATCATTTTGCTGGAATAAACTGTGACTATCCCCCCTCCTCAAAACAATAAAGTAGACAAAAAAATTTAAGATTCTTCAGGTGCGGAGCTGTTGTAATATATAACCAGTGTGATGTATACCCTCTTGTGTAACCTTTTAAAGTTCAGGTTTTTGTGTGACTTTTACTACTAATTTGTGAGACAAGTATTACATTTTAAGCTGTTTAAATTAAATTCATATGCTTAGTTGTACCAACAGTATGCTAGAAGCCATGAAACTTAAGTTCTTGAGCTGTCTCGAGTCTGTTTAACTCGTCTTTTTTGTTAGAACTAGTTGGGATTTCGCCCTCAAATTTGTTTTGATATGTCATGCCCAATCCATCAAAATAATTAACTTTAACTGAAAAATATTATATAGAACTATTTGCAATGAGTTTTTGTTGGAACTTGTAAACATAAGTTTCATTAATATTGTACTCACAACAAGTACATATATAAATGTCTAAAGATAAAGATGAAGGAGAGGAAAAAAATGAAAGAAATGTAATAAAAAAAAGTAGGTGTTTAAGGTTTATCGTTAGATTCTAGAGACCTCCAAAATCCAACTGTGATATTTATTAAAAAGTTTAATTGCAATTTTGGTCTTTCTATTTAGTCTTTATTTTAAAAATTATTATTTTAGTTTTTTTTTTTAAGTTTTCTTTTCAATTCCATCTCTTCAATTTAAAAATTATGATTTTGATCTCTTTTTTAAGTTTTAAGTTGTAATTTTGATCCCCTTTATAATTTTGATGATGAAAAAAGGACTAAAATTTAAAATAAAATTTTAAAAAGAGATTAAAATTATAATTTAAAATTTTAAAAAGGAACTAAAATTATGATTTTTAAAATAAGAGGACGGAAATTCAAAAGAAAATTTAAAAGAGATTAAAATGATAGTTTTTAAATGAGGAATTAAAATTAAAAAAAACTAATTAAAGAGATCAAAGTTGCAATTAAATTTTATTAAAAAATTAAACGGTTAAAATTTTAACAAAAACGGTTAAAATTTTAACAAAATAATAGAATATACGGTGGATTCTCAATATGTCACACTTTAGAAATTTAAAGTTAAAAGTTAACATATATTTATTAAATAGTGGAATAACTTGAAACAAAAAATCTAGTTAAGGGGCTATTAGTCTAATTAAGTCTAATATTTTTAACTAATTTTGTTTCTACATAAATACCTATAAACATTTTTTTTAATATCAATATAAATTTATTTTAATTGAAAAACTCATGAAAGTGGAAAACTTCTTAAACAAATCTTTATAATTACTTAAAATTATATGGTCGTATCTGAATCAGAAAGAGATGTGTGTGTAGTCTATTCAGTTGTCTGTCGGTATGAATGTTTTTTAGAAGAGGTTACCTGCAAGATACTTTAATGTTAAAGTCAGAGAGAGTGAGAGGTAAGTGAGTATGAGAGTTGTGAATAAGATACATGACTCTCCTCCATAAGAGAGTATTTATAGAGCCTCCAACGCTGGGCCAATAACCTCAATTATGGGTTGAGTATCCAGGTCCATAATAGATGGCTGTCATGATTCTCACGTGGTAGTGAGGATGAATAATATGTGCCCATCATCTTGGGTCAAGTGCTCCGTAGATTTTGTGGGTAGTGGACTGACCACGTCTGTTATGAGGGGTGTAATAGTTCCAAGAGTGTGGAGCACGTTGATGACGTGTCCTCGGGTGAGGAACACGTGAATGATACGTCTTCAGCTTAGACCTCACAGGATTGGGCCATCATTTGGGCCGTTGTGGACGCAATGGACAAGTTCGGCCGCACCTGATGTTGGGCCATGCTCGGACCCAGTCTAGAATAGGATTCCTCCAAGTCGTTGCTCATAGGCGAAGAAGTAATGACTTAGAGTTAGCCCGTGTGTCGAGGAAGATCAAAAGGACTTGCGAGAGGTGGACCTTCGTTTGTGCTCGTGCTTATATGCATGTGATTGCGGTGTTCGCCTTGGGCGATTTTCATTTGTGGGCTAGCGCTCACGAGGAAGGTACTTTTCCCGCGGCCAGTATTGTCTCATCTGCGTGGACGAGATAACACGTAGGTGTCGTGGTCGACAGTTTCATCTGCTCGTTCCCCGTGTTGTAAATTTGGCTCAGCTCGTGAATTATCATGATGCCTGTAACTTCTCCTCATTGTTCCCCCGAGGATGTATCTGAGAAACTTTGAGGGTCTCCGGAAGACAAAAGACTCATTCCTTGAGCCACGTGTCATAACATTTAATGTACAATGCTGGCCCATGCGTAGGGTTATGACGCCCTAGGGGTATGGATAATAATGTATCATTTTAACGACACGCCTTCTCATGCACTGTCAAGTTTCCGGTGCAAGGGGATTTGGTTATAAATATATGCAAATGGATGCCATTCGTAACTTTGCTCCTTCTGCCAACTTTATCTACTCTTCTTCGGTCCTCCGATTCTCAGAGCGTTCTTCCGCCGTTGCTGTCGTCGTAACTTCACCAGTCTCCATTTTTCTTCTTAACCCAATAATTTTTCTCTCCTCATGGTTTTGTTTATATGTTGTTTTTAGATTTTTAGGTTGTTTGTTCTTAGCGTTGTGCCTTTTAGATTAAGAAAACTTATGATGTGTTTGATTTCTAGTGAAGTTCATGTGACAAGGAGGTTTCTCCCTGCAAAACTCATGAATTAATGATAAAGTTCATGTAACTGGGAGGTTTCTCCCTGCGAAACTCATGAATTCATGATAAAGTTTATGTGATGGGGAGGCTTTTCCCCGCGAAACTCACAATTCCATGATGAAGTTCATGTGATAGGGAGACTTTTCCCCGCGAAAATAATGAATTCATGATGAAGTTTATGTGACGATGAGGCTTTTCCCCGCGAAACTCATAAATTCATGATGAAGTTCATGTGATGGGATACTTTCCCCCGTGAAACTCATGAGCTTGTGAGTGTCGAGGGGGTCCTCTTCGCAGCTTCAGCGGTGGGTCCATTGAACCCTGAGTCGAGGAAGGTTTGTCCTGACTTTATTTTTTGCCGTTGAGTAAGGGATTTGGTTGGGGAATTCATCCTCGTGCCTCTGTGTGCCTTTCACTTGATTTCCGATGGAAGGGTGGATTTGATTTGATCGTCGAATTCACTACTTTCCACTACTTTTCAGGTTTGATGACTCGTAGTGTCGAGGACATTCAATTGGTCAACACAGTTACTGATACCCACTTGGCTTGGGTCAGGCCGAAACCTCGGGGTATAGCCTCACACTTTTTCGCCTCCCTGAATAACGCCTTCACGATCGTCGAGCCAGGTGTGGGCGAGTCGAGTTTTGAGAATAGCTTAAAGGTTTACTGTCCTACCAAGAACATAAGGATCTGCTCGTACTACTCAGGGAACGACTTCCCAATGTGCGACTTTGTTTTCAAGGAGTTGGGACTTCGCCTACTCTTCAGCGATTTTCAGATCGAGATTTTTGCTCATCTGGATTTGGCACTCTCCCAGTTGTATCCAATCATGATGTCCTTTATTCAGGAATTTGAGATCGTGTGTCGATATTTTGGGATCGGCACCACGATCCCCATATTCTTTCGATGCTTTCATCTTCAACGACAAACTTTGAACAAAAAGCATGGTTGGGTCTCCCTAAAATAGTCGAGGAGGCTGTTTGAGACGTTCGTGGACTCTGTTCGTGATTTCAAGGATATGTACTACCTTGTTAAACCTGTGTCGCAGGAGGCCTTCGATTCAGTGTTCGAGCAGGCGATTGTAGTTGATGAGGATGTGAATATATGTTATGATGATGACATGAACAAGGAGTCAGAATTGGTTTCAAATTTTCCTCTCCATTGGTGTGATATCCATTTCTAGAAGGGGACAAACTATTACCTCACTAGGCCTGGTGATTTAGACTTCGAGGACGAAAAGTCCTATGGCAAACTTGATAAGTCTGTTGATGGTTTCTTTCCTGCCAAGTGGGAGATGATAAATTTGGAGGATTTCCTCGGCGATGAGGGACAACCCGTATCCGAAGCTCGACACATCAATACTAAGGGGCTCCTCGAGTGTAAAATTTTCGAGGAAGTCGTAGCGCTTTTAGGTAGTTGTGGTATATTTTCTTTTAGTATGCTCATATGCTTTTCTCCTTGTCGTACTACTTTGTGTTTATTATTTGTCACAGGTAAGATGTCAAGTCTCCAGGAGCGCGTATTCAAGATGGCGTAGAGCAGAGAGAAGGCCCCGAAAGTTCAAAAAAAATCGAGAGTCACTTTGTCCCAGCCCCGAACCAGCCCAAGGACAGGTCTGCTACTTCTTCTTCATCTTCGGGTGTCGATTAGCCTCCTTCTGAGCAGGAAAGCTCGGAAGAAAGAGGGGTCACGTAGAGGAGGATGATATTTTAGATCTTACAGGGGGATTCTCCCGAACCCAAATTCACGTTGCCTCCTTGATTCCTCGAGAAGGGCTTCTTTGAAGGATTTCCTCTTAACATGCCTCATGCAAAGTCTCTGGTCATCCAGGGCCTCGATTCGATGGGCAAGAGAAAAAAACTGGCCGGAGATGCCACTGTCATGATAAGGGTTTAGGAGATGGTTGTGGTCCTCACTAGCAAGGAGACTAGCTCTGCTACTGCACTGGAGAAGCTGCAGACAATGAAATTGGCCCTCGAGTGAAGGAAAACAAGCTGGAATATGATCTTGGTAGCTATAAAGACAAGTTCCAGCTCCAGGACACCAATCTAAAGAAGAAGGAGGAAAAGGTAACCAATTTGTCTGCGGAGAAAGGTGACTGGTTGCTCGAGAAGAAGGCTCCCAGGGATGAAATTTCTTATTTAAAGGTTGTCGTGACACCCGCCAAAGATGAAGCCGATGAAGTGAAAGCCTTAAAAACCCGAGCCAATCTGGTTTCTCGAATTCAAGAGGTCGAGCAGGATTTCCTGGGAGCTGTTGATATGGATTTTAACAGTTCATTGGCTCAACTTAAGATCGTGAATCCAGAGGTTGAGCTTGTCACCAAAGGGATTGGTTGCTTTCACCAGGTGGTTGATGGTCAGATAATACCTCCTCCCAGCCCCCTATCGAGGTCGAGGAAGATGGAGAGCCTCATGTTGAAGGGAATTTGAATACGGGGAGACCGTGCACGAGGAATTATTAGTTCCTCTTTTGTTGTTAACTGTTTTTGTTTAGGCCTGCGTGCCCGTAATTTCTGTAATATTCAGATAATAGGCTTTTCTCGCTTTCATTCGTAATATTTTGACATCTCGATCTTCATGGTCGCTTTATCGTACCTTAATTCTGTTTGACGCGTTTGTGCATGCTTGTCCTTTTAGCTTTGGTTTGTATTTATTTTCCTTGGATGGGTGTTCGGGGAGCCCATTGGTAAGGGCAGCCCCCAGAATTTTTTTTATTGTGAATTAATTTTGCTAAGTGTTTTGGGGGTCTTGCATCGACGATATCTTTGCTCAAAAGTTTGGGGAACTTATCGAGTGGTCAGAGTTGGTCTCTGGAGTGAGGGCAATAACTAAGATATCAGTCAAGGTCTTAGCTTCGCAACATGAACCTCTCATTGTGAGCTGGGCATTCTGCCAAACTGGTACGATGAAGGTGGAGCTCGGTCGAGTTTTCCCTGTCGGGCCAAGAATCTGTTCATCATAAGAGTGGAAACTTGCCTTTTTGTTTAAGTTTAGGATATTGTAATTGTACTGAGTACGCACCTATGGTCGGGAGGTAACCCATTGACGTGGCAGTGGTACCCTGACTGTTAAGCCTAACTGCAATATTGTTTTAGTTTTTTGACGTTCCATGGTTGAGTAAGTTCTTCCCCGTGTAACTTTTTGAGGTAATAAGCCACATTTTCTGGTTTTGCTCGGACACGATAGAGGCCTTCCTAGTTCACGACGAGTTTTCCCTCCTGAGAATCTTTATGATTTCTCCTCAAGACTAGGCTGCCAATTTCAAACTCTCGCCTTATGACTTTGGCATAGTGTCGCATGGCTATTTTTTGTTTTAGGGCTACTTCACGGAGGGCTGTCCTGATCGAATTTCTTTAATCAGGTCGAGCTCTTCCCTTAGCGCCTCGTCACTCAGCTCCTCATTTAGGGAAAGTTCAGTTTGTCTAGAGGGCTCTCTGATTTCTACTGGGATCACTTCCTCGGTTCCGTAAGTTAATTGAAATGGAGTTTCCCTGGTGGTCGAGTGTGGAGTCGTTCTATAGGCCCATAGCTAATTGTGTAGCTCCTCGACCCATCTTCCTTTGGCCTCGCAAAGTCTACACTTTAGGCCCCAGAGGATTACTCTGTTCGCAACTTCAGCTTTCCCCTTTGTTTGTGGGTGCTCAACTGATGTGAAATGTTGTTTGGTGCACAATTTGGCGATGAACTATTTGAAGGTTTTGTCAGTGCACTGTGTTTCGTTATCCGTGACGAGTGCTTGAGGTATGCCGAACCGCACGAGTATGTTTCTTTTGTAGAAAGGAAATATGTTGTGCACCGTAATTTGGGCGAGGGCTTCTGCCTCTATCCATTTCATGAAGTAATCGACACCAATAATCAGATACTTATTCTAATTTATTTCTGACGTAAATGGTCTGAGGATGTCCATTCCCTGCCAGGCAAAAATCCACAGGAAGGAGAGAGTTTTGAGCTCGTTGGGAGGCTCCAAATGCATGTCTCCATGGCGTTGGCACTTATTCCATTTCTTGACGTGTTTCTTCGTATTGTGTTACATAGTGGGCCAGTAGAATCCTGCTCGTAGGGATTTCCGTGCAAGGGATCTTTCTCCGAGATGTTGCGTGTTGGTTCCTTCGTAGATTTCGCACAGGATATGGGGGACCTTGGACTCCTAGATGCACTTGAGGAGAGGGATGGAAAATCCTCATCGGTATATCTTGTCCTCGAAAAGGACGTATGCGCAAGCTCATCGTCGGGTAATGCTGGTCTTTTTTTGGTCGGGGGCGGTGCCCCCTTGTAAGGTAATTGTGTATTGGTATCATCCAACAGTCGTCATCACCGATGGCATTCACATCGAGGATCGCGGAGGGTTTCTCGTTTCTCGGTCGAGAGACTATTTTCTGGATGAAGGATTTGTTTTCGCCTTTTTTTGGTGCTCGCATGTTTTCGGACAAGATGTCTGCCCGAGTGTTGTGCTGCGAGGTACGTGTTTTACTTCGGCATAACTAAATATCGTTATTCTTTCTCGAACTAGGGCCAAGTATTCGGCGAGGTTATCATTTTTGGCCTGATACTCTCCCCGAACCTGAGAGGCAACAAGCTAGGAATCAATGAAGATTTTTACTTCTTCCGCCCCCAAGTCTTCGGCCAAGCGTAGCCCTGCAAGGAAGGATTTGTATTCTGCTTGTTTATTCGAGGTTTGGAAGGATAAGGTGAGGAAAACTTCGACCATGATTCCCTCCTCATTTCCGAGGACGATGCCCGCTCTGCTTCCCGTCGAGCTGGAAGCTCCGTCTACATAAATGGTCCAACTACGGGCTCCGTCAATCAGGGAGATGGGTTGCACATCTCTGCCATGAAGTCATATAGAACTTGGGCCTTGAGGGCTTTCCTGATTTCATATTGGATGTCAAATTCAGACAACTCCAGTGACCAATTTAGCATCCTACACGCCATGTCAGGACGACCGAGCAGCTGCTTCACGGGTTGGTCGGTGCAGACTATAATTATGTGAGCCAGGAAGTAGTGTTTGAGTCTCCTTGCTGTAACGCCCCGAATTCTAGAATAATTGTTTATTTAATTAATTAGCATGAATATATGAGTCTTTGTGAAGTATTTGATACATGTGATGTTTGGTATTTTATATGAGTAATTGCGAGGTTCTTTGATATTTTGATGAGTATGAGGTATGCCATGATGAATTGAGATGAATATGATGTTTAACATGATGGTTGTGTGATGTTCATGTATTTCATAGAGATTATTGGGAATTAAGAGGACTTTTGATAATTTATAATTATTAGATTAATTAAGTGGAATTATTTTACTTAGTAAAATAGAGTAATATTGGTGTAGAGAAAATAAGGGCAAGGTAGTCATTTAAGAAGAGTAAGTGAGGACATGATGGGAAGTCAATTATTAGGGGTCTATAGGTTAAAATAAGAAATAGATAAAATATTTCTTTTTGGAACGATCGTGAAAAGAACAAACGTTGTGGAGAAAAAGAGCTAGGGCACAGAGAGGCAAGGGGATTTTCGGTTGAACGTGAAAAGAGAGAATTGCTGCTAGGAATCTGAGGTAATGGGTGTTTATCATTGTTATTATAATCGATCTAAGGTGTAGACAATTTTAGAATTGTATTAGGTTTTGGTTGATGATGATTATGTGACGTTTGATGATGAATTGATGGAATTGTGATGTTTAATTGTAAACAATTGATGCATATGGAGTATGGTATTTTGGGATGTTATTATATGATGAAAATATATGAAGTATTGATGTTTGGAGACATGTAATATAGTGAAATTGCAAGAATTTGGAACTGGTTTATGCAAGAAATCGTAACTGGAAGACCATATTCACGTAGCGTCGCCAGGCGATGAGGATGTGTCATTGGGCGAAGGTGCATCGTGAGGCCGTCGCTGGGCGAGCCAAGAAGCGATGGGATGGTGAAAAGATCGAAGCTACTGGAGTGCATCGCTCCAAGCGTCACGGGGCGAGGAAAGACGCGAAGGGTTGTTGTAACTGGTTTTGAAAACGAGAGTCGCCACCCTTAATTTTTTATCTTAAGGAAGGGAATATAAAGGATAACCCTAAAAGATAGAGATTCTAGGTCTTTGACTCAGTTCTAGACGAGGGGAAAGTGTTAGGCACCCCTTGTTCGCAAGGATACTAGGTTTAGAAGCGCGATGTTTTAGGAAATAGGGTTTTAATTGCTTATTAAGGAAAAAGGGTTTAAATTTTAGTTAGTGGAAAAATAGTTTGAATTTTAGTTAGCGGGATTCGCCATGATTTTAATCGTATGCCTACGTATCCTCTTAGGAGGAATCAGAGTCCCATTTCGTAGTTCGCGGTTGGTTTGTGTTTTTTATGGATTACACGAAATATTTTAATTTTCGCCGCACTTAGTTCGAATGTATAGATAGCGGATATTTCGAACTAAGCGCGAAGTTAATTAAAAAAACTCTTTGCATTCCTTTTTGAAGATTAATTGTTTGATTTAATTTATTACAAAAATAGTTTGACGTTTGTTTGCGTATTTTTTAGACGCATATAATCGAAGAGTTTGATATAACTCTCTTATCACACAGTCAGATATTGGCCATTTGTCGCTTACAAAAATTATAGTTTAATAAAAAACTGATTCTAATATTTGGATATAAAACAATAACTTAAATTGTGTCGCAAAAATTATTTTTAAGTGTGAGGTTTTTAATATTAATAAACCATATATCTATTAAGTCTAAAAAAACTAATTAATTATGATAATAAATAAATAATACATATAATGAAATTATAATCATTAAAGTAATAAAATATAATTAAATAAATATAGAAATATAATTAAATAAATAAATATATAAATAAATTTATAAAGAAAATACAAAAATAACAAAAATAGAGAGGGGGTACGATTTATGTTATGGTAGTAAAATGAAGGGGAGAGTATACAGCAGGGCCTGAATTCAGATTTTTGAATTCAGACCCAAATGGCCAAGGGGGGTGCTATGTAAGATAAAAGGTGGTACTAGAAATAAAGCCCAAAAGCCCAAATCATACTAAACCCTAAATCTAATTCAATTATATAGTACAATAAAAAAACGCAAGTACATTACAATAACAACAACATCCAACGACACCCTGTTTGGGGAAGTAGTTTTTGGGTTTTCAAATTAATGCCCCGAGCCAATAAAGAAGAGACACATGGCAATTTTTAAAATAAAAAAATTAAAATAAAACATTACCTATATAGCAATAAAACAATTAGGAAGAAAAATAAAATAAATATCATTTCCTCTCTCTACTGTACCGTCTTCTTCTCTTCTCTCAACAAACACTTTTCTCCTCCATCAATACCGGTTGTGCGTGATTTGCGCCGGAAAGAGCAGATCGGAGGGTTGTGTGGCTGCGATCTGGGCGGTCGGAGGGATATCCGTGGCTGGGTTTTGGCATGTGGCGGAGAGGATCGCGTGGGGGGAGGGTGCGATCGGAGCTACGGTGGTTGTGTGTTGAGGTGGGGCGGTGCTCGCGGTCTGAGTTGTTACGGTTCGGAGGAGTGATCGCTTTGGCGGTGCCGACTCCTTTCATCTCTTTTGTTTTCAGTTCTGAACTTTTGCAGCAAATGTTATTGTTGATGATGTTATGCAAGTTTTGTTGTGAAATGTTTCACTTTGCAGATTGATAGTGTTCTTTTTGGAATCTTGACAGAGAAATCGTTGAAGGTTGAATTGATGAAGATGGGAAGATGTGAATTTTTGTGTGTATGGTTAGAGTGATGTCAGTATTGAAATTCTGTAGATTTGCAATTGTTGAATCGTTAGGAATTTCTTATTTGCAGATTTATTGAAAGGGACTTTTGAAGGATCAGATTGGAGGAAGAATTCTGATTAAAACTTTGGCAGAATTTTCTTGTGTAGTTTTCTTCCCCCTTTTACTGTAAATTTGCTCTTAGTTTTATAGATTTTTAGGTTTTAGCATATTAGGAAATTTATTAATGTGTCTGTAAATTGATTTTAGTTTTAAAGGAAACAAATTGATTCTGTGCAATTGGTATTGAATCAGTCTTTGAATGCTTAAATCGTTTATGCTTTTGTTTCTCTTGTTTCTGGATTTGATATTGTTTCCGTTTTTACTATTCGATCCAAACAGTATATGCTGTTTTTTTCTTGTCTCAGGCCAAGCATTTTTGGTAGTCTGGATTGGATTTGTCTGTTTGGGCCTGCGCGTTTCCGGTTTTGGGCTTGGCAGTTATGTGTTGTTTTTTTTTTACAAATAATCTCAATAGAAATTCTAGTAAAAATAATTAATAATAAAGATATAACAATAATGACATGATTAATAATAATGTTAGAAAAATAAAATTTATTTGTTAATAAAAAGGAAGAATGATAATGTAATTGGTTTAAATAATCAGATGAAGAGAATCAACTGGGCTTAGGCTTGATTTTTAACAAACAGTTATTTTATAAAACAAAAGATTTTAACCATAAACAATTTTTTCAAACAAAAACCCTATTGGGCCGAAATTGCCTTAAAATGTGTTTTTTTTCTTCTCTTTTTCCCAAATTAATAATTTTTTAAAATAACGCTTTAAACATGATAGTAATAATTACCAACTATAATAATGATTAATAAAATTGAATGATAAAGAGTCAGAAATTGTCTCTCAATTATTTGGGCTGTCAAGAAAAACTATAATGGGTCTTATAATTTAAGTGTATTGGGCCCTAACTGAAATGAAATTGTTCACCCCCTTTGATTAGAACAACATACCTCCCATTTTACTTTAAATAGAACCTATATATATAAAAAAAAATAATGGGCCATCAGATATTGATGGTCCATTTTGAATCGATACACCCTCTCAGATTTTAAACAACCCCATAAAAATAGACGCAATTTTATTGAATAGAAACTTAATATATAATTAAGGGTAGGGAAAATTTGGGGTATGAGAAGGGTGTGTCGTCAGGCGATGGAGGTGGGTCGCAGGACGACGGATGACAGAATTGATTGGCTGTTTTAGATTTTCTTAAATGTGCCATAACTTGAGTTTTAGAACTCGATTTAAGGTGTCATTCGAAGCGTTGAATAACGAACGCAATGAACTTTAGTTTGATGGAATAAAATGAGAAATAAGAAGTATATTCCCAATATCTAAGTTAGAGTAAAGTTAGGTTCCCCATGTCAAATTATTATGATGCTTTATTTATGATGATGTTATGATGATGTTTTGTTTACATGATAATGTTATGATGATGTTTTGTTTACATGATAATGTTATGATGATGTGTGGTTTATTATGATGATATAAAGATGTCGTGATGAAATTATGAATGATGATGCATTTTGACTAGCCGTGGTCGTATTTATCATGTGTTGTGCATCATGCATTCATGGCATAGTTTAAGACTTCGGTCTAGTGATGGTGATTAGGACTCTGGTCTAGTGATGATGGTAGGACAACAGTCCAGTGAAGGCATCAATCCCATATTGTGGATTGAGTGCAAAATTGTGAAGTGCTCTAGTTCTAAGCGAGAATTGATCCTATTGGTGTGGATCTTTGGAGATGATGACGACTGAGTCATCAGTGAAGTTTTTGCACCACATACATGAGTTTATGAAGTTGCATTACATTCTATGTGACATTACATAATAATTTGATTTGATGATACTTTGTGATAATTGGCGTGTAAGGATATTGTAACACGGTGGGAGAATTGACTTGGTTGTTTTGCGTTTGATCGCAATTGTTACGGATAACAAAAGTCGCCACCGACTTTTCTTTTATCCAATAAGGAAAGGTTGAAAAGAACAGGAAAGACCTTTAGAGATTATTTCTTGAGTTCGGGGGGTAGGTTATGAAAAGGGAAGGTATTAACACCCTTTTCATCCGTAGTTATCTACGGGCTCTTAGTTGCTTGTTATATCACTCGCTTTTGTTTGAAAATCTGCTTGTGGTGTGGGTTTTGAAAGTATTTTGAAAAACGTCTTTGTAATGGTTCTCGTTTCTATAAGAACGCGTACAAAGTGTTGGTTTTGAAAATAGTTCAAAAAGGTGTTTATGGAATGTATTTTTGAAAGTGATTTTGAAAAGTGTCTTTGTAATGATTCTCGTTTCCATAAGAATGCATACAAAGAGCTTTATCTTTTGAAAATGTTTCAAATGAAAGTGTTGGTGTATAAAATATTTTTGTTGTGAGCAAGCGAGCAACTATGAACGTTCTACCTACTCAAAAGGTCTAATGTTCTTTTCCTCCTCCTTTAGATGTTACTATGTTACCATTTATTTGGCAAGAAGCCCCATCGTTGGATGTGAAGGGACGGGCGTGAGTCATTTGTATAGTCATAGAAGGCAACCTATGGGACGTTTTAGCAATTTCGTTTAGGGACTAGATCGTTTACCGAAGGCAACATTGAGGGCCATCGAGGGACTACGATCTTTTATCAAGGGTCTTTGCTAAAATGCCCATATTCGAGGGACATGACTATTTTTCTGAAGAAACAAGTGAGATTACCTTAGAGGTGCATGTGTGAATAATGTGTTTGATTTGCATGCATTTTTTCTTTGATTTTTGGGTTATCTACTTGTTGTTTTTATCTTGCCATACATCCTAATTATTAACATTTGTACAAAAGCAATAAAAATGTAGAAAATAAATCCTATACTATTACAACCATATTGAATAGCAAGAATATGTAAATACAAAACAAAATAAAAGGAGGAAAAAATGAGCTTTCCATCTAGGCAGAAACACCCTTCGATTCTGCCCTTCCTGGATTCCTTCGATTTGGCCTGGAAGTAGTGAGGACGCGCCTTTCGATTTGGGCTTAGCCTGAAGCATGAGATGCAACCTTCGATTCTGCCTTTCTGCTTCCTTCTACCGGGGCCTAGAATCAGCATGAGGTTCACTCTTCACCCCAAGCTCCTTGCTGCCTTCGTCGATTGGATTTGGCAGCCAGTGTGGACAACTTTAATTCTTCCCTTTTTGCTCCTTCGAATGGCCTGGAAGTCTGTATGTGGCAAAGCCTAAGGCTTCACTATATGTTCTGCTTGCAACTGTGAAGCAGCCAAAGGGAATCCTAAAGCTTCGGTTCATACTTCCTTCCTCCTGTTTTCTTTCATTTGGGATTTAAATAGCAACATGGCCTGAGGCCATACTAGTATTGTCTTATGGCCAGGTTAGTTCTTAAAAACATGTTTGATAAACAAAGGAAATAGACCACAAGATTAGCAATGAAGACAAACTAAAATGAAAAAGGAAACAAATGTTATGTACATGTTTTGAAACGGAAAAGCTTAAGGTCAGAGTGACTTAACTTGCTTGAAGTTGGGGTATGTGAGCTGGACCTTTAGCTGCTGCCTTGGATAATCCTAGGTTCGGAGGTAAGAAACGAAGGTGACGTTTCTAATGCTGGATTCGAAGGCCCAGAAGAATGGGGGTGGTGCTTTTTTTTCCTGGATTCGAAGGAGAAGAACAAGTGTGGTGTTCTTTCTACTAGATTCGAAAGAAAACAAAGTGTGGGGATTGCTTTAGATTCGAAAGAGAAAAAGAAACAAGTGTTGTGTTTCTCTAGATTCTGGGTTTGTGTTTAGTGTTTGTAAATCTTAAGAGTTTTAATAGTTTTTGAGAGTTTGATAATTTCTTGAAGATTCGTTTCCCCACCCAAAAAAGTCCTTTTCAGCTTGCAAATGTTTATCTATTTATAGAGAAAAGTTTAGAAGTGCTGAAGTAACCAGGTTTGTAGGATGACAAACCATGGTTTGGTTGAAACGAAAACAAAATTGATCCTTTTCGTTAATCCCAAGTTTCAAGTACAAGTGGGGGCCTGCTGGTAGGAGATTAGACTTATGCTTCTGGAACTGTTTTCGTTCAGACACAAATCAGATTGGGAGCTAATTTTGTGATTAAAGTACTCTTTATGAAAAAAGGGTACGTAGCCTTTTGCTATTTTATTCAAGAATGGTATTATCCAGTAGACAAAGCTTCAAACCTTTGTGTAAGCCTCTGATTATATAAATATTTGGAAGCAACATAGCCTGACAAGTAGGATTTGGAGGATAAGGCTATGAGATTTGCTCAAATTTCTTCAAACAAACTTGCTTCGAAGGGTCCAGAGTTGGGTTCAAAATATGCTGATTCGAAGGGAATCAAAACTCCAATCGAAGATTTGTGTGAAGGTGGCTCTTGTCCAATCGAAGGATTTCTTGCTAGAGGCCACATGGCCAAACAAAAGGATGTATGCAGGAAGTTCATGCCTTGTACCTGCTGGCATGAAGGAAATCCTGGCTTTGTGGTGTCAAAGGCAAACATGGAAGACCAGTGGCTTCTGAGTCGAAGGAGAGCTGCAGGAGGCCATTGCTTTGTGACTTCAAGCAAACATGCAAGAGGTCTTTTCTCAATCGAAAGCTTGCATAAAGGGAGCCAAATGCGTAAACAAAGGGTGTAACCAAAACATGCATTGAAGGGGGCCATATGCCCCAAACGAAAGATGCATGCATGGGGTCTAAATGCCCAAACGAAGCTTGCATCAAGGGAGGGCCACATGCCCAAACAAAAGAGGCATGCAGGAGGCAAATTGTGCAA